TTTTCGCCCTTTTTATACAATTCATTGTGTTTTTCGACGATTTGCAGGGAATTCAAGAAATTAAGTTTTCGCTGCTCTTCCTCCTCGGGGGTCGAGTAGTGTTTGTTGTGATTTATCTGTGATTTAAAAGTTTTGAAATTAGTTTTTTAGTTAAAATATAAAGTTTGGAAAACTTTTGCATTACTTTAAATGTATTGAATTCGTGATCAAATGTCTTGAATCCGAGTTCCGCCGCATTTTGTGAAGCAGTTTTGGTTTCTGCGAAACAGATGCCAATCAACGCCAAAATCACCACTAATTTCATGATTCCTCGTAAAACACAAGAATTGTATTTTCGACAAAAGGATTGAAAAAATTATTAGTGCTTTCGGGTCTCGAAGACTATTTATATACAAAATATATATTTTGCGATGAAATGCATGAAACACTTGAACTTTAAGCCATGATAATTTGAAAAAGTCACATTATTTTGATAGGTATTGTGCGATGGTGCAATTACTTGTAGGATTTATCAGTGGATTATAAGAATTGATGTACTGAACTCAATATCTAATCCATAATCAAATCAAATCAATTGTTTATTAAGTTATGACAATTGATTAATGAGTATATTGATTAAATTAATGAGAATTTCTGTTTCATAATAAAATCTTTATTAAAATGCTATTTTGTCAATAGGATGTGCAATTAATTGTTTTATTTAAATAACTGGTCCAAATAGTAAATCTGATATGTGTAAAAGTAAAATGTTTCCTATAAAAGTAAATTAGTAATTACAGTATTAAAATTTTAGATTAGTATTATGTATTTAAAAAAATTAATCTTGACAACGTCAGTATGTCATTTATGCACTCCATGTCTATGTATGGGGTATTGATTAATTTTTACACAATTGATATAATACTTACGGATTATCGTTAGAATTATAATAATAATAATTAATAAAAGTCAATTGAACCCATGTCTACATAAAGTACTTTGGTGATCACAAGACAATATTTTCTAACTTTCAGACTTATATGTCGCCATTCAGTCGACTGTTACATTATTGTGTATTAAGTTTTAAACTAATTGTTAGACAACTTGATTTACACATTTATGTGTTAATATACAGTATCTTAGATCAGTATTTAAAAATAAGCAATATGTTTTCTAGGAAATTATTTTATAAAAAATAATTAGTATCATCCTAATATTTAATCACTTTAACCGTAGATACTAAACAATCAATAATTAATAAATCATCAATTTCGATATAATACAATATTTTGTATATTTGTAATAATTTATAAATTATTAAATCATTAATGTTATAAAATATAATAACAATAATGCATTATAGAATCCCTTTATTAATCTCTACATATAATTAAGGTATATTAAATATGATACTGTACATATTAGAATATGTTCAAATTTAATAAACTTTTTATCAGGTAACTATATCTTATATCAATGCAATATCATTTTGGCACACTAATGCAATTGTGGCTTATTTGATTAACTTTGAAAAACAAATGCCCCTGATATTAATTGGTATCATTAGTTGTTGCTTGGTATCATTTAATATAATTTATAATAATATTAATAATTATTATATAATAACTATATCTGTTATTTGTTGTTAATACAAACACTTTAAATATAATTAATAAAATACAAAATAGGAAAAATATTTATAATTAAAAAATTATACCAGAAAAATAAAATATGTTATATAAACATGTAGTAAATAGTTGAATTATTCATCAAGATAAGTAGCCGTTTTATAATTCTTGATTCTAAACAATTTTCTGTAAATATGTTTAATAGATATATAATAGAAATAAATAATTATATATTAAAAGCTGGTTAAGTTTTTAAATTTAATTTTATTATTTAACATTTTACTTTAATAACTAATTTATTTTTAAAAACGCTTTCATAAATGTTAAACAAAATTACAATAACAATTAATGAATATAATACATTACTGTACATAATATAACATGAATGTTCAATAGCATTGTATACTGGAATATTTATTAAAAATATAATATAACATACTGTATATGTATAAATGCTAAATAAAAATGTTTCATAATACAAAAGCTATTGATTAGATAATTCAGAATTATTATAATTCTTATTGATCAGGTACAGTCATCTATATTAATTATAATGAAATAATTAATTTAATTTGATACTGAACCACATCATGGCAGTACTATATTAATAATACTATTGTAATCTATAATAATTTATAAATATTATTTTTACATAAAAATAGACTTAAGCGCGAAAAGCAAAATATTAAGTTGGCTTTATTTATAAATATTTTTAATTAGGAAAATTTTATTATTTTCGATATTTTATACCGAAATGTACACTAAATCTCATTTATTTTGCACTACCGGTTATGGACTATTGTCTATGNGTACACTAAATCTCATTTATTTTGCACTACCGGTTATGGACTATTGTCTATGTGTTTAGAGTTTTACTTATAGCACACTATCGAAAGACTTGGAAAATTTCATCGCCGGGCAGTCCGTGTGATAATGGCATCGGATTTAAGCACAAATGATTTGTTTGCAAAACTAAATTTCATACAAATTATTGGGCAAATAAATTATTTTCACTATTTATATTCAAATGTCTGAATGGATTGAATGCAAACAAATGCCATAATCACTACACAAATGGACAGTCGACTCGATGAACTAGATCTGTGGCCAATAGAGATCTACTCTTGGTTAAAAAATCAATTATAATGTTTCAGAAATAATGTAAATGTATAGAATTGATTAGATCTAGATATTAGAAATTGTATAGATTTGAAATATTTGAATTCAAAACTAAAGATATTGTATTTGAAAAACTAATTTTATATATTATATTTGTTATCTTAGCCCTGATGATGGTCTCAGTGTAGACCGAAAAGGTTTGGAAAATAAGTTGATTTGAATTTTATATTTTAAATTCATTTTCACTGTTACTATCAATAAATATTGATAACTTAAACTCTAAATATTTATTTGATTTGAATTGTATTTTTTCAGTGGTTCGCACTGACCTCTTAAAACAGCAATAAATTCAAAAATTGTACCTTGGAAAAAGTTTCAAATAATTTACAATATAAATATGAATTGAAACCGTCCGAACTTAGCTTAGGTTTACATCACTAAGTCAGGACAGTAACAATTAGTTACCATGAAATGGACCAAAGTAATTTTATGGTTTGTTACAGACTAAGGCACACTTTTATTTACAGGTCACTTAAAAAGGCCATTTAGTTTAAAATAAGCTTTGCATCAATAACACGGTATCAATTACGACCGCCTTTTTGCTTAATTCCTTATTTTGTGCATATGTATGGTTTGCTATACACTGGGTACATTTAATTAATAAATAAAATTCTTGTTAATTCTTAAGATTTCTATTATTTCTCAAAAATTCAAATTACATTATTTCATAATTTGTCCTGGTCAAATACCAAAACTTGAAATTCTGATATTTAAAATAATCAGAAAAGTTTTGAATTAATTCATTTGAAAAGAATTTTATGTTAATAAGAAGATATTTTATGCATAAACCAGCTCAGTTTGATCGTGAAAATAATGTATATAACTTTATTTACTATATATAAATTGAAATCATTTTAATAAATTTATTTTGCTTAATAAATATGGTTTAACTACAGTAATGATATACAGTAATAAGATATTATTTTAAAAAAGTCTTTACAACTCCTAGGATTACTATTATTACAATTTTATTCACTTAATTAAATTGTTACCTAAGATTTTATTATATTTAATGTAAAATTGTCTTGACGATAAAATATGTTACACTTATATTTGTAAGAGAGAACAATTTATATTTTCTATTTCCAATTCAATGATTGGTTAATTATTGTGATATAATATTTATTAGGGGTAAACTTTATGATAAACTGATATATTTACACAATCCTGTTACAATACCGTACCTATTATTAAACCCTATGGTTACGTAAAATAGATAATAAGCAACCACTAATATTAAAGCTTTTATTTTTGATAAAACTATAATTGGTATATACATGAAGTGTACTTATATTTGGTTAATAACTTAAGGTAATTTTTATACTATAGAATCCATTTTGGAGATTTAACATAACTTGTAATGTAAAATACCAAGTTTACTTGAATAATACATATTAATAAAAATTTAAGTATCAAATTAATTAAAATAATAAAACATTTATAAAATCATAATCTTTAAACACAATAAACCTAATTTGAAATAAAATAATATTTAAAACATTGATTGCTAAATAGTTATAACGATTCACACATTAGTGGCTTTAAGTGATAACATATTAAATCAATTTAATTTACATTATTTATGAAATTATTACTCTATATCTAAGTTATTAACATAATTTTACATAATTTAGTTTTTCAGTTTAAAATTCAAACTAATAATTACTCTAGGCCTTATAAATNAACAAATATAATATATAAAATTAGTTTTTCAAATACAATATCTTTAGTTTTGAATTCAAATATTTCAAATCTATACAATTTCTAATATCTAGATCTAATCAATTCTATACATTTACATTATTTCTGAAACATTATAATTGATTTTTTAACCAAGAGTAGATCTCTATTGGCCACAGATCTAGTTCATCGAGTCGACTGTCCATTTGTGTAGTGATTATGGCATTTGTTTGCATTCAATCCATTCAGACATTTGAATATAAATAGTGAAAATAATTTATTTGCCCAATAATTTGTATGAAATTTAGTTTTGCAAACAAATCATTTGTGCTTAAATCCGATGCCATTATCACACGGACTGCCCGGCGATGAAATTTTCCAAGTCTTTCGATAGTGTGCTATAAGTAAAACTCTAAACACATAGAGTCTATGTCATAGACAATAGTCCATAACCGGTAGTGCAAAATAAATGAGATTTAGTGTACATTTCGGTATAAAATATCGAAAATAATAAAATTTTCCTAATTAAAAATATTTATAAATAAAGCCAACTTAATATT